CTATATGAATATAGTCGAAAATAGTGGTCGTGCTCATTTTTCAAACACGTCATTTATTAATGATTTATTTTTGAACCACTACGGAAAATTTGTTAATAAATTGAACACGCTACATAACGTGCCCTACAGGGAGGTGCTCAATATAATTGTGCCGTGAAACGGCATATCCATTAGGATTATCGGGCAACGTCAATTCAGCAATGGCACAATTACTGATGATATACTAGAATTAGAGGACCTAGCTCCTATCGAATCATTTCAAATATTACAAGGTAGAGAGGGTCAAAAGTGTTGCACCTTGTTTAGTCACCTAACAGCTAAATGGCGAAATTATCATGTGCATGTTCACGAGATTGAAATATATATTGAGCTTGATAAAAGTTGGTTTCCACCTGTCCCAGATAAGGATTAGTATGATGATAGAAATAAGGTACAATTTTCTATGCACTCACCTAATGTCATCCCCCAACGTATGGGGCACCAAGCATTTATGGATATTAAACTCGGACAAATGGTATGCTTGATGTAAAATGGTTATCATTAATATTTTATTAAACTATTTTTTAATATTTCTTATTAATCTAAATTTTAAATGCATATTACAAAATCTAACTACATTAATTAACAAATAACATAATATGTATCACTTATACCGTAGTGTTTATAGATTTTTGCATTATTTTTAATTAAGCTGTTAAATAAGCAAGCTCATGGCATAATTAAAATATATTAGTTAATTTTCCATAACATTCAATGTTTAATATAGATTTTTAAGTAATTTTATTTTTAAATAGATTTAATTTTAATAATTACTTTAAAATATATAATCAAATTATGCTGTAGTTATCCCTATCATACAATCGACATAAAACGATCCTGCTACCCGCACCTTACGATACCAACTGCCAAACGTATGACGTCACCGGCGTGGAGACCGCACACAAACTACGTGCCGATTGTCTAAGTAGTTGCGCGTACAACATGTGGTTCCGGTGCCGTAACTGTACCACATATTCCCGTATCCTATGGCGCCTGGATTCACTACCGGGTGAACGCAACCCTAATATATGTAAATTCGGTGAACACTATTTTAGCGACAGTGGTATCGTTGAGTTACCAGGGCCATATTACGTTGTGCCCGGTGACCATTGTTTTTGACGTACGAGTGGACAGTTTGACGATTATTGCCAACGTCTGTGTCCCGTCGATTGTGTTCAAAACTATTACAGTGTGGCGGTAGTCGATAGGGAACCGGGAAGGTCGGCCTGGTTTATGTCGGGAACCGGGAGGGTTTACATCGGCCTTACACATAATCAATTGCCCGATCAGGTGACCCAGCACGTGGAGGAAATGACGTTTATAGACTTGCTAGCTAATATCGGTGGTATATTAGGTTTGTGGGTAGGGTGGTCAGTGTTGTCAGTGGTTAGTTTAGGGTTGTATATATTGGTGAAGTTTTTGTAGTTTAATTTTTAAGACTATCAATATATAGTTAGCATGAGATTACTGTTGTAGAAAGTTAATAGGTAACTTTACATAATCTTTATTAAATTGTAATTCATATTTAAAAGATTATTTTTTATAATAATTTATTTTATATTGGTATTATATACCTTATTATGTTTTTTATATTTGTAATTATGCTAAATTATCTAATTATAAAATTCTAGTATGTATTGATTATTAAATAATTTTCCTAAATATAAAAATTACATAAATTTTATTGACACTGTTTGTTATTATATAATAAAAAAAATAATTTTAAAATTTTTATCATTAATTCTGTTTATGTAAATGATAATACCCTTAGCAACAAAAATAACTTTAATAAATAAACTGCTATAATTAAAATTGGCATATTAAACGTCAATGTTAGGCGTGTTTTTTATTTGTATCATATTTCCGTTTTAATACACAATATGTTTTTATAACATAATGCTATAATATAAAAAACATTATACTATGTCGCTATTTACTTACAGTATTTAAGTATTACGTATGTTTATTCATATTTATAGCAATTGTATCAATAGCTCACAATGTTCAAGGGCAATAAATAAAGCTACATTTAAAAGTAATTAAATCACAAATTATTGTTATTTTACAATGTGTTTGTGGATCCCATTAAGTGCCCCGGTCAATGATGGTCAACACACGTGGTTGGATTAAATCACAGATACCACGAGTGGATTGCCTACCCAATCAACCGGTAAGTATCTGACCAAAGCTACATTTAAAAGTAATTAAATCACAAATTATTGTTATTTTACAATGTGTTTGTGGATCCCATTAAGTGCCCCGGTCAATGATGGTCAACACACGTGGTTGGAGTTATGGGCCACCCGTATAGCCACCGTAATGGGCCTGGTACTATTTATTGATGCATTTCTCACGGTGTTTTGGTCGCAATGTATAGCATCGGCAATAATGCAAATGTAAGTTTGTTTTACCGAGTTTAAATTAATTATTTTACTAATGATAAACTTATCATTGATACGCATTTTACAGTTATAATGTAAACGTTGTTGTCAAAATTATATAATGTTAAAAATAATTATTATAAATACAGTAGTTAAATGTCGCATACACTTTAAAACATGTAGCATTTAGTGATTAATTTAAAAATAAGTTTTAATGTGATATTTATAAAAATATATAAAAACTTATAAAAATAAGTAATATAAAATGGGAAAATATAACCAGGTTAAATTAAAATCTCAATTTATATATTAGATTAGATTAGTTAGGATAACCTATACAATTACAGTCTTAAACAATTATTTCTAAAAAATATTATTTTCAATTAATTATTAGGTTGGCCGCTCTCATTATCATAAGCATAGAGGGACCTACATTTGTGGACTTCCTATCATTCGCACTACCCGTTAGCCAGATCATTGGTCTGAAGTCTCTATGGCATAAAGTGGCACTGTATGCCATATTAACCTTGCTACCATTTGTCGTTGGACTCAGTTTTGGTTGCATTCACACGGCATTTATCGTAGGCTTTTTCGAGTCTCTATTTGTGACGGGTATATATTTGTACCTGGCTCTATCACCCCAAATTAAAGGTACTAGTTCGGGTGTAGGCGCTGGTGATATTGATGTCATGTCACCCGCACCGCCACCATATCCCGGTGGTAATGATACCGGTGCTGGAAGTGGTGGCATATCTGTAGTCACTTTTCCGAAGCCGTCATACCCTTACGGATATACTACCCAACCCGGTGCCAATGCTAATGTATTTCTTACTGTTACAAAATGAACATGCTACAAAATAAAATTAACATTGTTATAATGGAACTTTTAATTGCAAGATTAAACAAAAATGAGCATGTATGAAATAAAATTAAAAATTGTTTAATAAAACTGAATAACCTCTCACGTGTCGTAAATATTCAAAAAATTTCAATATTTTAGGTTGACCATTCGCAAATCGCCAAACTGTATTGGATATTAGGGGAAAGGTTTTGAGAAATTTTGTATATGTCTTATTGTTTCGTTGACAAACATAATTTTAATATGTATACACCAAAAACGATGTAAATGTTTTACAAAATAGCGTTTACTGTATATAAGTTAAAATATTTATTGAACTTCTACCACACTTTTATAAAACTTTTCATTATAATTCATTATAAAAGTTCGATAAAAGTTTATTAAGTATTTTGCACACACTAAACGCTATTTAGCAAAACATTACATGGGTTTGGGTTTTCACTAATTAATTTTATACAAACACAGGGTTGACTTATTTGCATGATATGCATGATGCACATGACCAGGCTCCAGCTAATGCCGTCCGCTTTTTGATGAAAAAGATAAGGATTGTACATAAGGTTTTTAATTATAAGTACCATAGATGACTAAATATACAGAATATTTACAATTGTATTGTGATGCAACCAATATATTACATAAATAATTAAATAAATTGTCACGGGTGATTAGTTTAGGGGTCGAAGCGGTCGGTGAACACGATTTAGGTAGACCACCAGGTGCCCGATTTAAGGTCAGTGTGACCAGATCCCAAGTATTTGACTTGACATTCAAGTATTTGGGGTGTTTGTCAAGTGACAAGGCAGGGGGTAATACTTGACATTATAATGTCAAGTATTTTATTTTACATAAATTATTAATAAAATTATGTAAAATCGCGACCAAATAGCAAAATAATATAATTGATATTTTACTATTCTTATATTAATTATTATGATAAGTAACCTACAAACATTATATTATGAATTTTTGGTTAAAGTTCTATTGATTTTATAATAAAGTATAGGGAAATAACCTTTATTATCCAGATTAATACTTGAAATTTATTTGACAAGTATTGGTGCTTAAAATAAAATACCAATTAATAATAAATTTTTAATTTTTACAAAAAAACTTGTCAAGTATTTCTTCAAGAGTTTATTCAAAAATACAAGTATTTTGGATTTTCGATCTGGTCACACTGTTTAAGGTATGTCGTCAAAATGCGATCACCATGTCCGGGCTGGTAGTTCAAAGCAAATTTTATGGATGGAATTGGATATCCATTTAATATTGAAAAATTTGCACCACGTGCGATTTAAATAAATTTGTCCATTACAAGTTATTTAATACTTTATGCCTTTTAATGATAGGTCTAATTGATATATAATATTAAAATT